ACACCACCATGACATCGATGCGGGACTTAATAGAGAATATGAACCGGAGGTTCGACGAGATGGCACGCCACTTCCAACACCAGCAAGTGCGGCCACCACCGCGGCCGCACGGGCACGAACGACCCGAGGAGCAGGAGAAGTGCGGCACCAAAGTCTCGAAGGACTCGAGACCATACATTAAGGCCCAAGGCGAGTCCAAAAGGGAGATGAAGGTCGAATTGGTCGAGCAAAATAAGTGCGAGGTGGAAATTACTGTCGAGCAATACACGCCCGAAGATGAGTTAATGGATGTCACGAGCGAGATCATGGTCGAAGGAACGTTAGCCGAGTCCAAGGAAGTTGAGGTAGCCGAGGTCGAGGAGGAGATTTTGGTCGTGGTCGAAGAGGGCCATGATGACGAGACGCACGGGGAGGAAAATAAAGATGAAGTAATGGCGACGCCCCAAGTGATGGCCAATGACGAGTCCTTGAGGACAAGGACTCATTCGAAGGGGGGAGGAATGTTGCGGAAGTGGCTTTCGAGGCCCGAGAATGCCGAGAGCCGATGGCCGAGACGATCCGGAAAGGCCGAGAAAAGGGCCGAAACAACGCATGCATGGCCAAAAAGACGTGTGCGGGCGCGAATACGAGGCACACGAGCACAAGATGGGTCAACGCGAACGCAAAGTGAACGACGAGATTGTTGCGTAAAGAAGTGGCCACACGCGAGAGGAGCTCGCACGAGCACAAAGGCACGCATGCAGAGATGCTGCATGAGCCCTAGGTACTCGAGGCGTACAAACATGGCGCACATGCGGACGGGCCTGGACTTGGGAGCACGAGTGGGCTTAGCGATAGTGGTTCGGTTGAGTCCGGAAGTTGGCAACGGGTCGCGCGAGGAAGCACGTGGAGGAGTACGCGGACGTGATGCGCAAAGACACGAGGCGAGCCGTGCGAGCCGAGGAGCGAAGATTCTAGAAGATGCTTATTATTTAGTTTAGTTAGTTTAATTAATTAATTATTTAGTTAATTAGATTAATTATTATATTTGTTAGTTAGTTAGTGGCGTAAGTTATTAGGTTAGTAATAGTGATAGTATATATATATTTTGTTAGTTTAGGCGTTAGATTTATTTATTAGTTTAGTAAA